TATTACTATCCATATATACACCTGAGCAGATTCAGCATGTCGAAATAAATCTTTAAAACGTATTACATTCACAAAATTTATTTCCAAGTAAAATTGTACGAAGAATCTTACAGGTAACAGATGTTACATTTCTTAAGAATTATATTGATGAATCAATTAGTAGAACACCTGTTGGATGCTGTGTATTTTTTTTCTTTATTCGCACGCTTAAGTAAATTTTGTTGTTCAAAAGTGTGTTAAAAATTTATAATTGTCTTATATAAAATGAATAATATACACTGTTTAATAATATTTTTTTATTATAATTTTTAATCATTTGTGCATCTGTAGTTTGCAAAAAAAATACTATAACTAGTAAATAATATAATAGTATAACTATACGAGTAAATAATATAATAGTATTTAATTAAATATAAACAACAAACCATATTGAGTGCTGAATACAACCAATAACGACAATTATATATTTTTTTCAAAAATCGATTGTTCAAAATTTTGATCTTAATTTTAATTTTTTAATTTCAGTTTAATTTTTCAAAATAAATTTATTATTCTATTTTACAAAAGGTTGAAAATTTAGATATTTTTGAAAATTTTGAATGTTTTATTCATTGGAAAAAAGTGAAACTAGTGCTACAACTTCCCGTACCGAATTATAATTTTGAAAATCCGAATTATTTTCGATATTCAAAAAAAAAAATGATTTTTTTTCTTTCCTCGAAAACAATCGATTCAATACAAGCAGAAAGTTATTTGAATCATTCAAATTGGATACTTAGTTCTCTCAAAAACTGCCATTTTTTGCACACACACACGTCCATTTTTTCTAAAGTATGCCAAAATGTTCAGAAACCTTCAAAACGTGAAGATATGGGAAAATTGTCATTTTCGATTTTCGGACTATTGCAATAACTTTCTCTGCGGGAAGATAATTAGAACTCAAAATTTATGGAAGACTTGATCTATATTTTTTACCATAATTTAATTTTTTTTAATAACTAAATAAATTTCTATAAAAAATCTGTTTTGCTATCTTTCACCATCTGAAATACGTATCACATATTTTTTGTTGACCGTTGAAATATTAAAAAAATAATGGCACACTTGTAAAAAAATTATACTTTGATTTTTACTTCTTTTGAAATTTATGACATAATTATTTATTATGGTCTTGCAAATATACACATATAATATTTATAGTTGTCTAAGGTTTATCTTTTCTGCTTATAAATTAGTACCAAATGAATTTATTGTCAAATTTGATACAGAGTTTAATACCTTTTAACGCTTTTTTACATTACACATACATGCTTTTTGACTTAAAATAAACGCGATAGATATAGTATAATGCGAACATAATACTAGGCAAACAATTTCGCACGTTTTAATATATATAATAGATTTTTTATTCTTTTTAATAATTTTAGGTAGCAATAAAAAAATTTTTAGTCTTTTATGTGCTGTTGTGATGTATTTTTTACTACTCAGCAGAAAATCCTATGGTTATTATTTTTTTTTGTAATGAATCATTTCATTATACATACTAGTAAAGTGTGATATATCACTATTGCAGCAATGTACCAAAAGATTATTATCACTTGAAAATATACCTATTGGGGTCTAGAAAATAGGCATTACATTTATGCCTTAAATAAAAAGTCACTAGACCCAGGTCATCAATTATCAAGTTTTCCATTCATGATAAATATCGAATATAACAATGTGCAAAATGAATTTGTTGTAATTTAAGTTACACCAAATACTTATTCGTGATTTATACGTGGTGTTACAATTTAATCTCAGCTATGGCTTCATACTCCAAAATACTTATGGCCTTAGGAAAATGACCTAAACTCCGTAGTTGTGCACAATTGCACAAAATTGAATATATCAATTAATTGTTCGCAAGAACCTGACCCAGTGCTCAAATTAATGCATTTGTGGAGCGCGGCATTCAAGCGCAAAATAATTCTGCACATATGCGCCGTCCACAGGGTGTTCGGAGCATGTTCGGGAAATGGAAATTCCGGGAAAACAATTAACCGGCCGGCGTTTTAAAAACTAGCGGATCACGTAATAATGACACCTTTGTGAATAACTGAATGATGGAATGGATTATGACGTTTCAGTAAATTGTATATTACTTTTATATCTATACATATACAAATAAAAACTACTGTTACTTCAAGTGAAGATGATAACAAGTGCGTTGCCGAATTTTTATTGATCATCTTCACCTATTGCATATTGGTTTGGTGCATAATGTTTTTTTAAATCGAAACTAAAATATTTGTTTTTTTTTTAAATTTAATTTCCCATACTTATTGCCATTTTTAGAAAATGTATGTTTGTTGAGGGTTGTAATGTATTTTGAGGGTTGCCACATTTGACTATTTTTTAACACTATTTTTACATTTAGATGTGTATTTGTCTATAGGCTGCAGGCTACAGAAAAAACTAAATACTGCCGTCAATTAAGTATTGTATGATCACTCGACGTTTCTAGGCATTCTAAATCGTTTGGCACCAAAATTCGAAAAGTACCTCACGTCAATGTTTTTTCAAAAACGGTTGAATTTAAAAGCCATTCTATGCAACTTAATAAGGACTTTAAAATAAATTTAAAACTTCAAAAACCATTCGAATTCAGTTATCAGTTATCATACAAATCTATTGCTTCAAATGGCGATTGAAAATGTTTAATTGCTTTTATAGAGAGCAACCTAATAGTTGCGAGGCAAAACCTTTTTGCCCCTGAGCTACACGTATGAGTTCTACATTACTTGTAGTCCTACATTTAGTATAATACTGTCTAGATCCACAAATTTTAAATTTAAAACAAATGAATCAGCTAAAACTCTTGAATATCCTTGGGGTTTCGAGTGTAATTGCAGACTTCGGCACATTTTTACTCTGAAATTTTATTCCCGTAGCGGCTGACGGATAAAATGCAATGTCTTTAATTTTCTATGTACATCTTGACTTTGTGTCTGCGCTACTTCAAAATGTCATTTTGTGTCTTGTGCTTCATGTGCATCTTTTAAGGGTTTTTGAATAATATCGGCGCAGCTATTCTTTGTTATAGAAAAACTTCAGATTTTATTGTCTTTTGCACACTGCATAGATTGAAGTGCATCAAAAGAGTCACTGGAAGATATAATATTGGACGGTATAATAAATAACAAAACTCGAGACCTTATTTAACACGACAAAAAATAATAGTTAAATTTTTACATTACATTACATTTTTACATTAATATCAGTTTATTACATATTTACTTTACTTAACTTTTATTCTACTTTTCTTACATACTTTACTTATACTTTATGTTAGTTCTATTATTTTAATATCACCATAATTGTTACATAATAATATAGAAAATTAATATTGAAACCAATTTAAAATGCAATTGATAATGATATAAATTAGATAATCCTTGAATATGCATTATTTTATTAAACATTTATTAAAAATTCGTGATTTTCAAAATCAAAATTCACTATTTATTTGTACTTGTCAATTTTAATTTTTTTTGTGCGAGCGTTTAGAGCAAATCATTATTAAAAAGTGTAACCTATAACGTGAGGAATATTATTGCCAAAGATTTTCATTTGCTTGAAAATGCTCACAAAGGGTGTTTTTTGGAACATCTTTTTGATATCGAGTAAATTCTACATCTGTCTTGTTTATAAGTAAAAATATAGGAACAAATTGATTTCAAAAATACAAAATCTTATCGGAGATGTTCAAACTTGACTATTAATTATTTTTATTTGATATTTTAATGTTATGAATGATTTTTTTAAATCTTTTGCTCCGTGCTGTGGGGTAGTTCTCTGGCAAGTAAGCCTGGATGATCTTTGAGGCAACTTTTGTAATTGTCTGGATGTGTTCGTATTTTATCGTTTATCGTTAAAAAATCTTTAAGTAATTTATTTCGTTAAAATTTCTTTAAGTAATTTATTTTGGCATCTCTTAATTTTTATCACATTTAATTTGGAAGATGATTCCCATAATTGCCATAATATACTAGCTTTGCACAAATAAACTGTCAAGTAGAGCTTTGTTCTTCAGAACAACTTTTATACGTTTATTTTATTAAATTATCAGAATATCCGAGTTTGATTTGATAAAATTATTATATTTTTATATCATTCTTTTCCTTTCTTCTGTATAAAAATATAAACAAACATAAAAAAATCAATGTATTGTTTTAATTTTGTTATTTAACAGACATATGAACAATTCTCAACCATAAATCAATACTAATCAATACTAAAAAAATGTTTTTTTTGAGAAATTATTATTATGAATATTGAAGTTGTGATAGTTTTTATACAAAACTCTTGCACAAAATAAAAATAAATTATTCTTGGTATATTACATAAAAACCGTTGTCGTGTAGTGGTTAAGAACTACTTCACCATCTAGCTTAGGGTCAGAAAATAAACTCTTTCAGCTTAACTACAATCAGTATGATATCAGTCTTTTACTTAGTATAATATATACATACAATTTTAACCTCTGGGTTCCCTTTCTCAAGAAAATACTAGGTTTAATAGTACAATCAGCTTAAAGCAGTTGTGATTATTGCTCTAATATAAAAAATAATATTTGAGTAAAACGATGAGTCTTTATTAGGTCTATCAGTAATATTCAACATAATAAATTATATACAACTAAGTTGATAATTTTGCAACATCTAATTGAAAATTTTTCTTAACTCAAGTTGGCTACACACAATTTATTTTATACAGTACCATATAATAAAATAAAATCATGAATAGTACAATTATTTCGACTCAAATATTTATACACCTGTTTCGACTTACACACCTGTATTATGTGCATAAATGTCTTTTACCATTTAACTATTTATCCCCGAAGTTAGTTTATGAACAAATTGTTAAATTTTACTGTTATATAATTACTGTAACACTATCATATAATATATAATTTATCTCAGAATTGATTTATCAACTGATTTTCGTCGTTCCAGGACACGCAATGCTCCGCAAACAATTGCCTAGGGTCTGTGATGAACAATCGTATCGTTCCGGTCGCCCAAAGACCGCCTCAGGACGTCTTAAAACAGGCTAAGGACTTCCTGGATCAGTACTACGCATCAATTCGGAGGTAAATCAATCCACTCTTTTACACATATCACTTCAAAATTTATTATACCTATGTCAAACCGAAAACGAAACCGATCGCAATACTCTAAAATCAGTTAGACGTGGAAAAACTCGATGAAAAATTTCACTCTGTGAACTGACACACAGTAATCATTATAACCAATTATATATATATTATATATATATATATATATATGTGTGTGTTGAAAGTGTTTAAATTTGATGTTGAAATGTATGATTAATTTCTCGGAGGGCGTAACAGATTTTTTAAAACATCTTTATTTTTCCATACGTTTTGACGTAAAATTCTACGTCATCGTCAGTGGTTTTGATATTCTTAGATTATCACTTACACATATTTATACAGCTTGTAAAAGATTATTAATTGGAAACAAGCACCAAATGTCAGTAGTTTCTTTTTTATTAAAAATAGAAAATAATTAATAAATAGAATATTATACGTAAACACTAGTGTATCCGAGGCAGGCCTAACAAGAATATATATATATATATATATATATATATATATATATATTTATTTATCTACTAGCTGACCCGGCAAACGTTTTTTCATAAAAATATTGTTTAAGATGTTTAGTATGAAAATATCTGATTACAAATGTATTGCATACGTAAAAGGTGCAGCTAACAAAATATATATGAATAGTTTTCACACTGCAAAGCACGCCACATATAAATGTACCTTATTAGTCTTTGCAAGTGCCAACCTCACCTGAAACTGATTATATTTAAATTGAATTGGCGCATTTGGTGTTTCAAGATTATGATATATTATTACTGCTTATTATTACTTTTGCAATAATTCATTAATTAGTTATGTGGCATACCCAGCGAATTGACTGAAATTGAAAAAAAAAAAGAGGAAGTGGAAAATTTTACACTAAACTGTTGTATCTTCAGATTGTAACATTCAATTTCTCTATTTTGTTTACAAAAATTTGCTCTTATTGCAAACCATTAATCAATTATGTACTGTTTGTACGCATCGAGAAATATTTTTACAATGGGATATTGGGAGGGCTGGATAACCCTTGATAATTTTTTTAAATTATAAATTGTGCCTTATGATAAGGTCAGTGAAAATTAGTATTGAAATAACTAAATAAATAAATGAGTAACCGATAAGTAATTGACGGAATAAATAGCAAACGAATCTTTCAATAGCAATCTAATTATGCTGACAGGTAAATTAATTGCAAAGTAAATCAGTAATTCAATTATAACTTGAACCAAGCAAGTAATTTAATAGTAATGTAAATAATTGACTGAGTAATCAATTGAATAAATAGAAGCGTATATATTACCTAAAAGCCGCTAGTGTTGCAGTGTTTAAGAACGTGCACTAGCACTCTCTATAGTTCAGGGTTAGATACAGTATAATATACACATACTATTATAACCTTTGGGTTGCCTTTCTCTAGAAAATACAAGTTTTAGTAGTACTAACAGCTTAAAAAAAGTAGTAACAATAAGTAATATTGTGAATAGATAAATACTAAAAAAATATAAAAATTAACATGAAAATTGCGTAGAAGGGGAGAAATTTTTCAAGTCTAATTTAGTGAACAAAAAGAAAATAAATCGACTTGAGTATAGTTACATTGTCAGTGGATTATTTTTGGTTGAGTATAAACTATCTATTTTTTTGGTTGAGTATAACTATCTATTTTTCAATAAAATTGTTTTGATTCGAACTGGTGTAAAATAAAGCATTTTCAAAGCTTTTATGACAAAAACTGAATTATATAGTTCCGAATATCTTGATTATGGATTCTATTGGCCAACAGATAATAAAATCATAAATTGATTAATAAAATAAATATTATATGTCTTTATTCTACAATTTCATGGTGGCAATATTTCCGAATAGTTTTCAGTACAAAGTAGTATAAGAACATATTGATGTGATTGCTTGTTTCACCATTTCAAATATAGCCAATAGTCTTGAAAATTAAATTAATTTTCAATAGAACTTCATAATTACTCGAGAACAATCATTTTATATTTGATAACTGAAAACTACTTAGTGACACGTTAGACTTAACTCAAAATCAAGACATATCTTTAGGATTAATCAGTGGTGTTGTCGAGCCGGAACGCGCCGGAACGTCGTTCCGGCAAATCATTTTTGGGGCGGAACGCGTTCCGGCAAAAAAATATATAAAAAATCGCTACATACAGAAAATAATTTAATAAGTATATTTTATAAATTATTATTCAACTAATTTTTATTAAATGTTCTTATTATTGTAATAAACGTCGTTCCAGCAAATCATTTTCGGGCGGAACGCGTTCCGGCAAGAAAAAATATAAAAAAATCGCTACATACAGAAAATGATATTAATTAAAAATAAGTAAATTTTATACGTTATTATTCAACTAATTTTTATTAAATGTTATTATTGTAATAAACATACATACATGTGCACAAAATGAGTTTTGTAATAATTTTTGTTTCTTTCCTTTTCGAACGAAACCAGAAAAAACATGAAAACTTGTTTTAGAACCGGTTTTTAAATTTTAGCGTTCCAGCAAAAAATATTAGCACAACACCACTGGTTTTATCAAAGTCGTTTTTAATTTAGTAACAAATTGAGGTGTATGAACTGAAATATTAATCACAATCCAGTAGTGTATTTCAAATTTCACATATGTTACTTTAAGACCGAAAAGTGTCTGACACCCTAATATTGCGGATATAAGTTGGACTTGTTTCGGACATAGCGGGCGTTAGTCGAATAAAATAAATAATTTAAGACATTCATATAATGGAAATTGATTGTAGCAAAAAAAGCAATTCTATAAATACAAAAGCATAAGAACTCTTTTGCTTTTAATTAAATTAAAAAAAAAAAATTTTAATAATTCGATGAATTTTTTGCCATCTAAGGCAAAAATATAAGCCGTTCGATCGCTTGTAAATTTTTACAATCCAAGATCTATTGGTATTTTTTTTTAATCATTGTTTTATTGACATTTATTTAGTAGTAAATTAGTTGACAATTTATAGCAAAAGAGTTACCCTGATATTTCAATAGACTTATCGTCTCAATTTCGGCCTACAATTTGAGATTTGTATGCATATTCATAAAAACTTTGATCTTTTGAAAATCTGATGAAGGTTCTGTGGAATTGATGATCACTCGATTATATTGATAGATTAAAAAATTGTACTCCTAGACAAGTAATTCCCAACGTGGGGCGCACGCCCCACAGAAAAATCCATTTTTAAATTCAGAGGGGGGAGGCAAATTAAAAAATTACACGACTTTAACCCACTTGCTTTGGGTGATTTGAATATAATTTGTAAATACTGTTAAAAATTTGTTAAACATATTATGATCAATTTTTCCATATATATTTCCATAGCTTAGTAAATACGGATCCCTTTTTAGGTCTAATGCAAACTTTCTCAATATTACGGATTATAGAAAAATTCCAAATTCTGTATATATTAGTCTGTATATTTATAAATTGCCATACCTCCCAAACAGAGGTATAATAACTTTTATATTATATTTTTAAATTTAGAATTTTTACAATTCAGTAAGTTGCGAGACTAAGAACACTTTAAGGGGGTATTCTACTGTAGAAGCATGAATTTTGGCCGGTTTTTGAAGCGTTGTATAAAGGAAACAAATAATATTTTTACTATCGATTTTTTATGATTTGTTTATTGATATTTTATTATTACATAAAAAAATTATTTTAAAAAAAATAGAATTCACAAAGTTATGAGCAGTCAAAGTGGAGGCTCAAAAAAAAGAGGGCGTCCTGGGGTGCATGGTGCATGGATCACCTCCTGGTGATCCGAAACATAAAAAATAGATGGATTCTTAATTATTATAGATGCCGCTATCGTATGAATCTGGATAAGTTAAAAAAAATTTTTTTGTTTGAATGGCGACAGTTTGAAAAAAAAAAATTTTTTTTCATGTTTTTTTTTAACAATTCCGAATTTTTTAAAAATACTAAATGAAAAGTTATAGTTTTGGGAAAGGTCTGCGATAAAGCGATGTATAGAGAAGATCCTCTCCAAATGTGAAGTAAATCGGTTCATTAGAACTCGAGATATCCTTACCGCCAGCTCGAAAAAAGTAGTTCCGAGAAAAACGCGTTCAAAGTTTTGAGACTCGGTCGGACCCAAACCGAGGCTACGTCACTTAAACGGATATAACTCAGGAAATAATAGTGATTCTGAAAAATTCTTTTAATGACATATTTCTGAATAACTAAACTTTGAAAATATGAAAAAAAATTTTTTTCGATTTTTTCAAAATTCTACAGTAGAATACCCCCTTAAGAAATTCAGCTCGCACAAGTTACTCAAGCATTTAATAAAATTTATAGTTCTATGTCTATTGTCGCATAGTGCACACAATCGTTTAAAAAAAGCAAGTAATTAATTTTTTATGAAGTGATAACGGTAAAGGCAGCAGTAAGGTGTAATCGACGCCTTAACGGATATTTTAGATATTTAATATCGAGATAAAATTTCTTATAGAAAAAATAATATTTATAAATTAAATCTTATATAAATTCGCATTTCTTATACGCTAACACCTACATCATAGGTTCTATTCGTGTATTTCTATAGCCTTACGTATGCCTATACACATGCCTTACATCTATATACAATGCGCTATATTTCATCACATACTCTCAAATCCCTACATTGTATACCGAATACACCTAACCTATATCTACTATATATCCTATTACCTATATTTTTTTACACGCTACATTAACCCCACCGAGAATCGAACCCGGGTCCGCCGCGTGGAACACGACGACCTTAACCACTACACCACCGTAACGTTACAATCAACCGTCTTTTTTCGCGTGTCGTCGCGCCACCTCAGTATTAATTATCTAATTAATTAGAAAATGACCCGCGGAAACAACAGTGCGTCCCATATTATATTATTAATGGGGGTACCCGATAGAGTAGTGGCTAAGGTGCGCGACTTCCACGCGGAG